AACCTGTTGTAAACACAAACTCTAAATATGTTCTCATTTTTCTCCAGAGATATCTGTCCAGTGTTTTCCTAATTAGAATACAATAATGTCTAGTAAATATTACACAGCTTAAATTTCTTCTAAAATAATTGAATTTTTTTCTCTTTCTTCCAGAAGGAGTCACTCTACCCTGTTTATAAAACAATCTCTTTATCCAACTGGTCTCTTAACAAGAGGGTGAGATAAGAGTTCCTCCTTATTATTAATGAAATATGTTTACAGCTGCATTAAAACCTATTGTATAATTTGGACACTGAAATCAGCCATCTCTTGAGTGTCTTAATTGTCTGGTTTTTGGATTTTTTATTGTACTCAACGTTTGCTACTAACATTGCCCTCCTCAGTAGGGCAGGAAGTACTCTTTTAGGAGATCTAGAGGGTAACTCCTCGTTGGCAAGTCTGTGCTCCAAGGGTGGGGCTGTTGCAGTGAGCAAGTGTCTGTAGGGCCTGGCCTGTCCTTGGATTGTGCTCATTTGCAAAGGCAAAGAACTGTAAGTAGGTAGCAGCAGTCTTATTTTTATGCACAGTTTAGTCTGTAACCTTGGTTTTATTTATTTATTCTTTCTGGGCACCTGGCTGGAATCTATATCCCTCTCTCTTTGTCATATCTATAAAGACATGACCCACGCTGGGAAGGTGGCTCAATGGTAGAGTGCTTTCCTTGCATGCATGAGGCTCTGGGATCCATTCCTCAGCACCACATAAGCAGAAAAAAGAGGGAAGTGGCACTGTGGCTCAAGTGGTAGAGCGCTAGCCTTGAGCTGAAGAGCTGAGGGACAGCACCCAGACCTAGAGTTTAGGGCCCACAACCGACCAAAAAAAAAAAAAGACCCAAACCCAGCATGCACTCTGGTCATTGCATCTCAACACAAATGTTATGGGTAAGTGGTCTGACCATGTGTGCTTTTATAATTCTATCTTTAGGACACTGTTCTGCCAGAGTGGTGGGAGATGACAAAATGGAAATATTTTAACTTTTTGGGCTTGAACTCTGGGCCTGAGTGCTGTCCCTCAGCTCTTCAGCTTAAGACTAGCACTCTACCACTTGAGCCACAGCGCCACTTCCAGTTTTCTGGTAGTTTATTGGAGATAAGAGTCTCACAGACTTTCTTACCCGGGCTGGCTTTGAACCGAGATTCTCAGATCTCAGCCTCCTGAGTAGCTAGGATGACAAGCATGAGCCACCAGCGCCTGGCTATTTTGACTTTTTTAAAAATAAGGATAAAATCCCAAAGGCCTGAAGTAATGGTTTTAACAACACACCCGAAAGGAGAAGATACATTTTCTTCCTAAAGAATTGCTGTAGCGATCTCACCAGCAACTGGAGACAATAACTTGATATTTGCTCATTTGTCTACTTTGGGCATTTCTCCAAGGAGACAGGAGTTGGGGCTACGGCTTGCACAGTGCCACGGATTATCTCTAAATATGTACTGTTCAGATCCTAAATCCATAGCATATCAAGGGTTAGTATTCTGTATAAAGGGAAATGTAATGAACATGGGGTAACATTTGCTCAAGGGCTGAGTGTGTGTGTGAGTGTGTGTGTGAGTGTGTATGCACACACATGTCAATACTAGAGCTTGTACTCAGGGCCTCATGCTGTTGCTTGGCGTTTTTACTCAAGGCTGATGCTCTACCCCTTGAGCCATGCCTCCTCTTCCAGCCTTTTGCTAGTTGACTGCTACTAAGAGGCTCATAGACTTTTCTGCCTTGGCTGGCTTCATGCCATGATCCTCAGATCCTGAGTAACTAGGATTACAGGCGTGAGCCAGTGGTGCCCAGCTCAGTTTTGATAGCTCTATAACCCTCTTTTCATTTTCGTAATAACCTCAGGGAAGGGAAACAAACATTCCTCTTGTCTCTTATGCCATAAGCACTCAGACCCTGTACTAGATTCAGTACTTTGCAAAGTCTTCTTTTGCCTCTTTCAACACCAGTTTTTTATTCAGTGCTAGGGCTAGAACCCAGAGCCTCATGTGTGCTAGAATACTGTTTTAGGTGAGGCTTTCTCTTCAACTCCATTGACATATTTTTTTAATTTAAACATCCTATTTGTAGTTGCATAATTAGAACCAAAATATCTGAGATCGGTAAAATATGGGAGATCGGTAAGGAAGCTAAAATGACGAAGTTCAGAGCCTCTAAAACCAAACTGCGTAGGTATAAATCCTAGTACTGCTACTAATTGGCTGTGCAGTCTTAAATAAGTTAACTCTTTTGAGTCTGTTTCCATAACTGGAAAATAAGGTTAATTCTACTATCCATCTCTTAGGACCATTCTGAGGGTTAAATGACGTATGCCAAGTGCTTTGGCCACAATGCAGAGCACATAGTAAGTGCTCAGTAAATACAAGCTTTCCAGGTTCCATATATCCAGGTACTGGGTGCTCCTAGGAGAGAGTTTGGGCCATTTTTCTCTATAATACAAAAAAAGACCCAGACTCCTAGTTTCTTTTTTTTTTTTTTTTTGTCGGTCGTGGGGCTTGAACTCTGGGCCTGGGCTCTGTCCCTCAGCTCTTCAGCTCAAGGCGAGTGCTCTACCACTTGAGCTACAGCGCCACTTCCGATTTTCTGGAGTCTCACGGTCTCTCCTGCCCGGGCTGGCTTTGAACCGCGATCCTCAGATCTCAGCCTCCTGAGTAGCTAGGATTACAGGCGTGAGCCACCAGCGCCAGGCCTAGTTTCTTAATTGCTATACAAATTTTATTTATAGATTTTTTTCTACATAAGATTTTAGCTATTCTCACAATTCTTACCTCAAGGATATTTGAGGTACTGTTACAATATTTTCTCAATCTTCTTTTTATTTTATTTTTGAGACTGTTAATACTATTTATTCTATTCTGGTTTGGACTTGAACTCTTGACCTCCATGCTTCAGCCTCCTAAGTGCTGGGAATACAGGTGTGTGCTACCACACTTGGCTTAGTGTACTCTTACTATGAATCTTCACTCTAGGCTAGGCTGAGAAATCAAAACACCGTAATGGTTAGAAATGTATAAGGCTTCCCTGTGAGGAAGTCTTATACCAAGAATAAGGCCCACAAATGTTAAGTCGGGGTTCAGTAACATGGATTACACTTACAGGTCTTTCTGGCTTCTTCATGCTCAGCTGTGTTTAGGAAAGTTGGAAATACCAAATAAGTGACCTATGGATTAATGAGGCACTATTGTTCTAATTCTGTCAAGCATTAGATTAATCAAAGCCAAATGAAAGGTTGGTTTCTTCATGTTTTGCACTGTTAATTTTCTACAATTATTAATTATCTACCTAGGTAATTATTAAACTTTCCATTCAAACAGTGTGCTTCATGCAAAACCTACACCAAGAGAGATCTTAGTTTGTAAAGCCCAATTTTTAACCCATAGGTATTAGCAATGTGATTGCTGTACAAAAAACTCAAGCACAACAGAGGTTTCTGGGGGATTCTCTCCATAGCTTCTGAGGTGAAGCTTATCAGTTCAATGAAAGGGAGAAAATTATGACTCATCAAAAGACCTTGATGTAACACCAATCAATGAACAAGTAAAAAGAGAAGGGGGTGGGAAATTGAGATGATCCTACTCTTGATATCTGGAAGAGAAAGAAATGGAATGGTTACAGGTTAATAAAGAGAAAACAGGGTGAAGTTGGTTACCAACTTTATTTCCCAATCCGGAAGAGAAGAATATGTCTCCAAATTAATATTCAGTTTAGCAGCTTCTCTCTACCTTCACCCTGTCCTCACAAGGCATAAGAGAGACTCTGAGAAAAGCACGGGACAGCCATGATGACTGAACCAACCTTCTGCTCATGTGGCCCCATGCCAGGACACCGGGCTTTCCCACTCTTGGGAAATCTGAGTCCAAGACAGAAAGTGGCGGTCTCCAGGCCAAAATCTTTACATTGTGGATCTTAATTCAGGTATTCTCTGCATCCCACGGTGGCACACATTTAATTTTTAAAATAAAAATAATACTTGTAGCAGTTTAATTCTATAACTCTTCACACCCCTAGATAGTTGAGTAAAACTAATGTCCCAGGTAAAGCCGCATGGCAGTTCTGTGTGTGTTTGGGTTTTTTTTTCCCCCTTCTCCACGAATATATCAGTTTGTCAGGGGGAGATCAGAAGTAGGCTGGGCACCATTGGTTCACGCCTGTAATCTTAGCTACCCAGGAAGCTGAGACCTGAGTTTCATGGATCAAAGCCAGCCCAGGCAGGAAAGTCCCTGAGACTTGTATTTCCAATTAACCAGCAAAAAAGGCAGGAATGGAGGTGTGGCTCAATTGGTAGAGTACTAGCCTTGAGTGAAAAAGCTAAGGGACTGCACCCTGGCCTTGAGTTCAAGCCCCAGTATTGGCACAAGAAGGAGGAGGAGGAGGAGGAATAGGAAGAAGAAGAGGAAGAAGGAGGAGAAGGAGAAGGAAGAGGAGGAGGAGGAGGAAAAGGAAGAGAAGGAGGAGGAAGAGGAGGAGGAGGAGAAAGAGGAGGAGGAGAAGGAGGAGGAGGAGGACAAGAAGAAGGAGGAGGAGGAGGAGGAGGAGGAGGAGGAGGAGAATTATCATCTAACAGGCTCAAGGGTCTCAAATGATCCAAAAGAAATTAATAATCCAATTATCATATAGATTAAATGGAAACTCCATTTTCACGCGCCTCCATGAAGCCGAAAGACCCTAAAGATTGGCAGTCTTAAGAGGCTCTCCTGGCTTTTGAGCTACTGTTTTTATAATGAGATCTATTGTGAAGTCTGTCTTCCTGCTCCAGCATGGAATTCCTATTTCCCTCAATCCACTCACTTGGGGAGTACTGAATTACCCAGGAGGATCAGCGCCACAATGAAATAAATAGTTGTTCATTGTAAATGGGTGATGATCAATACAGAGAACCCACTGCTGAACTTAAAATGACAGACGTGGAAGACGGAGGGGTTAAAGGTAACCAAGTTGGGAGCCTTGAAACGCAGAAAGATGACACTCACCCTCATCTTGATAATCTGACCCAAAGGGGGCATCGGCTGCAAGAGGCGGGACATGAGTTATGCTGTGACTGTCATCCGAGCTGTCCTGCCCAACGTCTCCTCCTGAGGATGCAAAAAAACAGGTCGTCTTTGGACATCGTTATAAAGGGATGTATAGCTCTCTTCTGGTATTTGCAAAACAAAACACCAAAAAACAAAAACAAAACGCCACAATGTTTCCTTTACTTGATAAACATGCCCACTACTTATTAACATGAGAGGAAAAAAAAACAGAGAAATAATCTCAAGAATCAATTTGGCTGGATGGGAAAGTTTCCACTCAGGTAAGTCACTAGAACTAAGGAACTGTTTGCTTAGAATGGGAAGAGAGAAATTTCTCTGTCGAACTTAAAAAGAAAACCTAGCTAATGCCCCCTCCCATCAATTACAACCTTTACCCACAATGCCTTGTTTCTCTTTCTACTCCCAAATGAAATAGAAGAAATGACCCAAAGGGTTAACCGGGTATAGATACATATAATATAATGCAGCAAAGTCAATATCCCATCTTTCTCTGAAAAATAAGAGACATAAACACAGAGAACCCACACTTTGCTAGGTTTTTATTCCTATTTAAATCACTACTTGCTTTGCAACCTTAATAAAGTTCTCTCTCTGTAATTCCAGTTTATAGCCTAGGCGACCAGCCTCTTAGGAATTCTAAAAGCCCTAAGAAGGTAATATTTGTTCAGCAAAATGACTTTGATAAAAGGGAATGCATATCCGATACCAAATTATGCAATTAAAAACAAAAGCTAATCCCTTTTGGGTGTTTTCAACCTACGTTGAATTGTATTTTGTAGAAGTGGTCGATGCTATTATGATACTTTAAAAGGCTCAGGCGGAAGAGGTTAGCGCATTCGGAAACCAGAAGACAATGAAAGCGGTACAAATGGCTTTCTTTAAAAATCCCTGAAACAGAGGTTTAAAAAAAAAAAAAAAAAGTCTGCTGATAAAAGAGCCCGGACATCTGCTTAGTTCATTTCACAAACATGAAAAAGGGATTTGCAGCTGAATTTCATAGGATCTCAAATACTAATTTCCAAAGAAAATCACCAATGCTAATCTCAGTAAACATTGTAGGGTTTTGGCCGTGGATTTCAACCAGGGAGCAGTGAAAACAAACAGCTTACATAGAATCTCTATTGCTTTCCTTTAAAGGTTTATTTCCTACAATTAAACTCGAAGGATGGGGAGGATATAAAATGATTTAAAAATAAAAGAGAGAGAATGGTTGCGGCCTCCTCTTCCCATAAATTAGCTGGTTATATCTAGACTCTTCTTCAAATGCTCAGTGGTTAAGTACATGTCTATAATTTAGTTGAACACCTGCAGCTAGAAGACTTTAAAATAAACTGGAGAGATCATCGTAGAAAATAAAATTTGAACATATACAACAGTTACTGGGCTAAAACCAGAAGAAATGTTCTCCTTTATTAATTCTCTGATCAAGATACAAAGCATTACTGTGCAATTTCCATAATAACTAGAAAAAACCCCACCTCAAATGCAGGGCAGAGGGTTAAAAATGCTCAGATTTTACAGCATAGCAAATCCACATGCTCAACAACAATGTACATCAACTACCTGGCTAGAAACTTAAAGTGAGCTTCAGTGTTAAAAGGAATTTTTGTTTTGAGCCAAATCAAAAATCTATAATAATAACAATAATAGTGATTTGATTGGCAAGGAAAGATGCTTTTCAGCTACCATTCTGATCTCAAAACTTGCTGATCATTTCAGAAATCTAACAGATCTCCTACCAAATTGGGGGAAAACAATCATATACATTCTAGCATTTTAAGCATTTTTAAAATGCAGATCAGGAATGGTTTTTGTTTTGTGAGGGTGTGTGTGTGTGTGTGTGTGTGTGTGTGTGTGTGCCAGTAGTAATGCTTGAACTCAAGGCCTAGGTGCTGTCCCTTAGCTTTTTCTGCCCAAGCCTAGCACTCTACCATTTAACTGGTAGTAAGAGTCTCATGGACTTTCCTGCCTTCACTGGCTTTGAATCTTACTCCTCAGATCTCAGCCTCCTGAGTAGTTAGGATTGCAGGCATGAGCCACTGGCACCTGGCTTGTATTGATGTTGATGTTTGTATTCTTGGAATTTTTTGTTGTTGTTGGTAGTGGTGGTGTTCGTGGGCTTGAACTCTGGGCCTTGGGCACTGCCCCTGAGCTCTTCAGCTCAAGGCTAGCTCTCTACCACTTGAACCACAGCGCCACTTCTGGCTTTTTCTGTTTATGTGGTGCTGAGGAATTGAACTCAAGACCTCCTGCATGTGAGGCAAGCGCTCTACTACTGAGCCACCTTCCCAGTCTATTCTGGGAAATTTGAGACTTACACAAGTGTTGTGCAGATACTAGAGCTCCTGTATGTCCTTCAACATCACCTTCCGTAACTAAAATACATCTGGCCAAACCGAGAAATGAACACTGGCATACTGATATTAAGGCAAGTACAGACTTTATTTGCAGCTCACAAAATGGTTCATCAATTTCCTTTTCTGTTTCAGGACCCGATCCTGATATGTAGTCCATCTCATTCCATTTGCATCTTTTTTCCTATCAGCTTGCCCCAAGCTCTTGCCCGGATCACACACCCCTGATTTACTAACATCAACGAGGAAAGTCCTTGCTCCTTGATTCCTATGGTTGCTGACTCGTTACCCAAAGTGGGCATTCGAACAACCTATCCCTGTACCAACTGCCAGCCTGTGCCCCCGTAACAGGCAACAAGAAAGGGATAAACCCAAGGTAGGAAACAAAACCTGGGTCTGCTGGCTGCGGTGGGGGAAGGGAGAACATTTTAGAATATGCCTCACACTTAAGCACAATTAGTTCGTTGATGATAAAGGCGTTATTCTGAGGGTTTTTTAAATGTCAGACCCAATGTCCCAACTCCCTGGGGCTCACACCGAATCTAGCCTGTCATGCTAGTGTGTAAATACACACTCCCGTGTAATTAAAAATGATTGCGACGATTCGAGATGCATGGGTGAAAAGTTTTATAGAAGAATTAACCATTTCCAGGGCCATTTTGGGTTTGCTTAAGTTGAATGTTATCATTTTCTTCCTTTCAAACCTCACGGTGTGTGTTCTCTGCATTGGCTACGACTGGAGTCCAGGGGGATCAGACATAAATGATCGCAAACCATAGTGACAGACATTTCCACTCAGCAGCTCCACAATTAGGGCTTCGAACTCCATCTGCTTAGATCGGCCTTTGCACAAGCAAGGCCCTGGGCCACTGGAGACCCACTTCCCCACCGCAGCGCTCCCAGAATCGATATATTTCTATTCGGATATAGATTTTAACACACCATATCTCCATTAACCACATCCACTACCTCCAGCCTTTCTTTTTGTATTTCTAAACAAGATCTGGGGGAACTATATTAAGGGTTCACCTGCTATTAGCTAGTAATTTGCTCTTCTCTCCTAAACATCCTAAGAATGGCATGCCGTGTCCCCTCGTTGGTAGATTCAATGGCAGGTTCTCCATCGAGTATCTGTGCTCAGGGGCCCATAAGGGAGATGATTTCTCTATTGTTCTTTTGCAGAGAGTCAAACTCAATTTCATTCATGCTCCATAGAGTGATAAGTTGGGAATTGCCAAAGGTTGGAGCAGAAAGATAAAGCAGTTTTGTGTCAGGTGTGAGGTAATTATTTGCCAGGGTTTCTGTGCTATTTGTTTTTTTATTCCCTGCGTTTTCATTAACGGTTAATGAGTTTTCCTCCTTAATTCTGAAACTATAGGTTGGCCACTAGAAGTTGGCTTTTTCTGCCACGGATTCAACCAGCTGTTGCTGCTCCATAAACTTTATGGAGAAGTGAATTCAATTGATGGAGGGAAAAAAAAAAACTTTCCATGACTATTTCAATTCCAAATGAAACAGGGAGGGCTTGGGGGGGAGGAGAGAAAAATAAACCCTGATGTTATTCTTGTAACTATTTTCACTCATAGCAAACCTGTCTAGTCCTGAACTCACAGGTACTATTTAGAGACAATTACTAAAGAAATAAGAGAGAAATGAGAAAGAAGGAAGAAAGCAAGCAAGGAAGGAAGGAAAGAAAGAAGAAAGGAAGCTGAGCATTTAAAAAATAATGCAGCAAGTTGAGTGCTTTTGGCTGTAATCATGCTTATAACCCTAGCTACTCAGGAAGCTGTTTGAAATGAGGCAGAAAAAGTTCATGAGATTTTTTTTATCTCCCATTAACCAGCAAAAAACTGAAGTGGAGGTATGGCTCAAGTGGTAGAACACTAGCCTTCAGTGAAAAATGCCAAGTAAGGGTATAAGGTTCTGAGTTCAAGCTCCAATATCAGCGCGCACACACACACACACACACACACACACACACACACACACACACACACACTCAACACACACACTCATACTCTGCAGCAAAATATCAGACCAAAAAAACCCAGCTAAAACATATAGATACATGTTTGCTTATCCAGTATGTAAAGGTAATCTTTGTCAAGCTAGTATGTCATCATCTTTTGACTTCTTTTCTAATGAATTATATTCCATCTGTATCTAACCGTTTCTATGGCATGGCTAGGAACTTTGTAGAGTTTGTTATTACTTCATCCCATACCTTTGGATAAGACCAGAAAATTGAAATGAATGTCATATTGTAAACTTTTTAAGTTTTTCTTATTATTGTTACTGCCATTAGGTGCAAGGATATAACTTCTCACTCTATTTAATATTTAAAAACCCATGAGACACACAACTCCCTCTCTTTAAACTAATAAATCCTCCCTAAAATGCTATAAATAAAGTTCCCTGATCCAAGTCCACTTAGTTTTCATGCTTGATAGCATTAATATTGCCAGATTTTCACGGACCAATTTCATTGTAAAGCAGTTTCCAAAACTGAACTATCTTGAGATTAGCAAAATGGCAGCTTATGATTCCTTATTACAACCGTTCACCTACATTATTGAATCTTGCCCCAACTAAAGCAATGTGTTGGGGTACAGATGTGACCATATAATGTGAAATGTTATTCACATGTAAAAATATTATAGACCCCATTTGCACCACCAAAGCGGA